AGTTAAAAGATTATTAATTTATGACATATATTTCATATACGTTCATAATAATTAAAACTATATAATTAGGTTAGATAGTAAACTTATTCACCATATTCACATTGTATTATGGTATAATAGATGTAAACAATTTCGATATTATTCTTCTTTTCCATCACCAAATTTTAGGTTACTCCATCACTAAGAAACTAAGTTAAAAGACTATAGTTAATGTCATATATTTCATATACGTTCGTAATAATTAAAACTATATAATGAGGTTAGATAGTAAACTTATTCACCATATTCACATTATATTATGGTATAATAGATGTAAACAATTTCAATATTCTTCTTCTTATCCATCACCAAATTTCAAGTTACTTCACCACTAAGAAACTAAGTTAAAAGACTATTAATTAATGACATATATTTCATATACGTTGGTAATAATTAAAACTATATAATGAGGTTAGATAGTAAATTTATTCACCATATTCACATTGTATTATGGTATAATACATGTAAACAATTTCAGTATTATTCTTCTTATCCATCACCAAATTTTAGGTTACTTTATCACTAAGAAACTAAGTTAAAAGACTATTAATTTATGACTTATATTTCATATATGTTCCTAATAATTAAAACTATATAATGAGGTTAGATAGTATATTTATTCACCATATTCACATTGTATTATTGTATAATACATGTAAACAATTTCAATAATATTCATCTTATCCATCACCAAATTTTAGGTTACTTCATCACTAATAAACTAAGTTAAAAGATTATTAATTTATGACATATATTTCATATACGTTCATAATAATTAAAACTATATAATTAGGTTAGATAGTAAACTTATTCACCATATTCACATTGTATTATGGTATAATAGATGTAAACAATTTCGATATTATTCTTCTTTTCCATCACCAAATTTTAGGTTACTCCATCACTAAGAAACTAAGTTAAAAGACTATAGTTAATGTCATATATTTCATATACGTTCATAATAATTAAAACTATATAATGAGGTTAGATAGTAAATTTATTCACCATATTCACATTATATTATGGTATAATAGATGTAAACAATTTCAATATTATTCTTCTTATCCATCACCATATTTCAGGTTACTTCACCACTAAGAAACTAAGTTAAAAGACTATTAATTAATGACATATATTTAATATACGTTGGTAATAATTAAAACTATATAATGAGGCTAGATAGTGTATTTATTCACCATATTCACATTGTATTATGGTATAATAGATGAAAACAATTTCAATATTATTCTTCTTATCCATCACCACATTTTTGGTTACTTCATCACTAAGAAACAAAGTTAAAAGACTATTAATTAATGACATATATTTCATATACGTTCGTAATAATTAAAACTATATAATTAGGTTAGATAGTAAATATATTCACCATATTCACATTGTATTATGGTATAATAGATGTAAACAATTTCGATATTATTTTTCTTGTCCATCACCAAATTTTAGGTTACTCCATCACTAAGAAACTAACTTAAAAGACTATAGTTAATGTCATATATTTCATATACGTTCGTAATAATTAAAACTACATAATGAGGCTAGATAGTATATTTATTCACCATATTCACATTGTATTATGGTATAACAGATGTAAACAATTTCAATATGATTCTTCTTATTCATCACCAAATTTTAGCATCACTAAGAAACTAAATTAAAAGACTATTAATCAATGACATATATTTCATATACGCTCGTAATAGTTAAAACTATATAATGAGGTTAGATAGTAAATTTATTCACCATATTCACATTGTATTATGGTATAATACATGTAAACAATTTCAATATTATTCTTCTTATCCATCACCAAATTTTAGGTTACTTCATCACTAAGAAACTAAGTTAAAAGACTATTAATTTATGACTTATATTTCATATATGTTCCTAATAATTAAAACTATATAATGAGGTTAGATAGTATATTTATTCACCATATTCACATTGTATTATTGTATAATACATGTAACAATTTCAATAATATTCATCTTATCCATCACCAAATTTTAGGTTACTTCATCACTAATAAACTAAGTTAAAAGATTATTAATTTATGTCATATATTTCATATACGTTCATAATAATTAAAACTATATAATAAGGTTATATAGTAAATTTATTCACCATATTCAAATTGTATTATGGTATAATAGATGTAAACAATATCGATATTCTTCTTCTTATCCATCAACAAATTTTAGGTTACTTCATCACTAAGAAACTAAGTTAAAAGACTATTAATTAATGACATATATTTCATATACGTTCGTAATAATTAAAACTATATAATGAGTCTAGATAGTATATTTATTCACCATATTCACATTGTATTATGGTATAATAGATGTAAACAATTTCAATATTATTCTTCTTATCCATCACCAAATTTTAGCATCACTAAGAAACTAAGTTAAAAGACTTTTAATCAATGACATATATTTCATATACGCTCGTAATAGTTAAAACTATATAGTGGTTAGATAGTAAATTTGTTCACCATATTCACATTGTATTATGGGATAATACATGTAAACAATTTCAATATTATTCTTCTTATTCATCACCAAATTTTAGGTTACTTCATCACTAAGAAACTAAGTTGAAAGACACCAAATTAACTAAATATATTTCATATACGTTCGTAATAATTAAAACTATATAATGAGGCTAGATAGTATATTTATTCACCATATTCACATTGTATTATGGTATAATACATGTAAACAATTTCAATATTATTCTTCTTATCCATCACCAAATTTTAGGTTACTTCATCACTAAGAAATTAAGTTAAAAGACTATTAATTTTTGACTTATATTTCATATATGTTCATAATAATTAAAACTATATAATGAGGTTAGATAGTATATTTATACACCATATTCACATTGTATTATGTTATAATAGATGTAAACAATTTCAATATTATACTTCTTATCCATCACCAAATTTTAGGTTACTTCATCACTAAGAAACTAAGTTAAAAGATTATTAATTTATGACATATATTTCATATACGTTCATAATAATTAAAACTATATAATTAGGTTAGATAGTAATTTTATTCACCAAATTCACATTGTATTATGGTATAATAGATGTAAACAATATCGATATTCTTCTTCTTATCCATCACCAAATTTTAGGTTACTTCATCACTAAGAAACAAAGTTAAAAGATTATTAATTTATGACATATATTTCATATACGTTCGTAATAATTAAAACTATATAATGAGGCTAGATAGTATATTTATTCACCATATTCACATTGTATTATGGTATAACAGATGTAAACAATTTCAATATGATTCTTCTTATCCATCACCAAATTTTAGGTTACTTCATCACTAAGAAACTAAGTTAAAAGACTATTAGTTAATGACATATATTTTATATACATTCGTAATAATTAAAACTATATAATGAGGTTAGATAGTAAATTTATTCACCATATTCACATTGTATTATGGTATAATACATGTAAACAATTTCAATATTATTCTTCTTATCCATCACCAAATTTTAGGTTACTTCATCACTAAGAAACTAAGTTAAAAGACTATTAATTAATGATATATATTTCATATACGTTCGTAATAATTAAAACTATATAATGAGGCTAGATAGTATATTTATTCACCATATTCACATTGTATTATGGTATAAGAGATGTAAACAAATTTCAATATGATTCTTCTTATCCATCACCAAATTTTAGCATCACTAAGAAACTAAATTAAAAGACTATTAATCAATGACATATATTTCATAGACGCTCGTAATAGTTAAAACTATATAATGAGGTTAGATAGTAAATTTATTCACCATATTCACATTGTATTATGGTATAATACATGTAAACAATTTCAATATTCTTCTTCTTATCCATCACCAAATTTTAGGTTACTTCATCACTATGAAACTAAGTTAAAAGACTATTAATTAATGACATATATTTCATATACGTTCGTAATAATTAAAACTATATAATGAGGCTAGATAGTATATTTATTCACCATATTCACATTGTATTATGGTATAATAGATGTAAACAATTTCAATATTATTCTTCTTATCCATCACCAAATTTTAGGTTACTTCATCACTAAGAAACTAACACTACTAAAAAAAAGACATTTGAGAAAAAGTTTTTACATCGGGTATCAAAATATGTGATGTAAAAAATATAATTAACAAACTTTTTATATCAGGTATTTATTTGCACTGATATAAAAAATAAAGAAAAAAATTTTTTTGCCACCTATTACATCGGGCAATCTCATCCACCGATGTAAAAGATTTCCAGAAAAAAAACACGGTGGCATTTTTGTAAATAAGAAACAAGGTGACAAAAACGTAAAAAAAAATATAAGCAAGATATTACATCAGTTTAACGAAAAACCGATGTAAAAAATGCTCGCTTGAATTAATATATAAAATATATTAAAAAATCATATAAAACGCGTGTATCGGTTGGACTTTCCACCGATGTAAAAGCCAACCGCTTGTATCGGTTGGACGTTCCACCGATGTAAAAAATTATAAAAACAAAATCCAAAATTGAAAAAACCCACATTCTCGAACACTGTACATTTTCTCCTGAAACCCTCAACGACTTCATTCGCCGCGACGCCCACCGTTGCCATTTTCTCGTCTCTCCTCCAACCCTCAACGATTTTGTGAACAAGTTTCCACCTTCAAGGACACTGAATTGGAATGAGAGTTTCTCAGTTTGTGATAATTGGACTGGTGTAACCTGCAATGAGGATAGGTCTAGAGTTATAGCGATTCGGTTACCCGGTGTTGGGTTTCATGGAAATATTCCACCTCATACTATTAGCAATCTTTCAGAGCTTTAGATTTTGAGTCTTAGATCCAATTTCATTACTGGGTTTTTTCCTTCTGATTTTTCTAATTTGAAAAATTTGTCCTTTCTTTATATGCAGTTTAACAATTTGTCTGGGTCTTTGCCTGATTTTTCAGCTTGGAATAATCTTACTGTTGTTAATTTGTCTAGTAATAGGTTCAATGGGAGTATTCCTGTTTCGCTTTCGAATTTGACTCAGCTTTCGGGTTTGAACCTTGCGAGTAATGATCTTTCTGGTGATATTCCTGATCTGAATTTGTCGAGATTGCAGACGCTGAATTTGTCTAACAATGATTTACATGGCACTGTGCCGAGATCGTTAAGGAGGTTTCCTGATTCAGCGTTTGTTGGGAATAATGTAACTCTTGGAAATTATACTGTTGTTCCGCCCGTGCCTTCGCCGGTTTATGATGCGTCTTCGACCTCGGGGAAATGTGGGAGGCTAAGTGAAGCGGCGGTGCTTGGAATTGTTGTTGTTGGGAGTTTTCTTGGGCTTGTAGCTTTTGGTTTTTTGATGTTTGTGTGTTGTTGTGCTATAAAAAAGGATGAAGATGATTTTGATGATGATGCATTTGTTGGAAAGTCGAATAAGGAAAAATGTCTCCGGAGAAAGCAGTTTCGAGGAACATGGATGCTAATAATAAACTGACTTTCTTCGAGGGATGTAATTATGCGTTTGATTTAGAAGACTTGTTAAGAGCTTCCGCCGAGGTTCTAGGAAAGGGAACGTTTGGTACTGCTTACAAGGCGATTCTTGAGGATGCGACTGCGGTTGTTGTGAAGAGATTGAAGGAGGTAGCCTATGGAAAGAAGGATTTTGAGCAATACATGGAGATTGTTGGAAGTCTTAAACATGAGAATGTGGTTGAGCTGAAAGCTTATTATTATTCGAAAGACGAGAAACTGATGGTATATGATTACTACAGTCAGGGGAGTGTTTCTTCTTTGTTGCATGGTATGTAACCATTATTTTAACCAATTGCAATTTCATATGTTTACTATGCTTGAGTCAAATGTATATAAAAATTTTTGTACTCATTTTGGTTTCTGAGAATTTCAGGGAAAAGAGGAGAAGACAAGGTGCCTTTAGATTGGAATACTCGGTTGAGAATCGCTTTAGGTGCAGCAAGAGGCATTGCTCACATCCATGTTGAGAATAGCAGAAAAGTGGTACACGGAAACATCAAGTCTTCAAATATCTTTCTCAATACTAAGCAATACGGTTGTGTATCTGATCTTGGTCTGGCATCCATTTCAACCTCGCTCGCTCTACCCATCTCACGAGCAGCTGGTTACCGAGCACCAGAAGTTACAGACACTAGGAAAGCAGCACAACCTTCAGATGTTTACAGCTTCGGCGTCGTGTTACTAGAGCTTCTAACCGGGAAATCACCTATCCACACAGCTGGTGGTGATGAGTTTGTGCACTTGGTGAGATGGGTTCATTCGGTTGTGCGAGAGGAGTGGACGGCTGAAGTATTTGACTTAGAGTTGATGAGATATCCAAATATAGAAGAAGATATGGTTGAGATGTTGCAGATAGCCATGTCTTGTGTGGTAAGAATGCCGGATCAGAGACCTAAGATGTCCGAAGTTGTGAAGATGATAGAAAATGTGAGGCAGATTGATAATGCACAGATATCATCTGAGAACCAAGCTGAAGTTAGATTATCATCTCAAAGCGAGACCGATAACGACAACATTAACTCCACTTCTTCTCCTTTACCGAAAGGAAGTGAATGAAAACAAAGTAAAGTTGTTGACATTTATTTCATTTGAATGTATCTGTTCCACGTTCTGAACAACAACAAGATGATTAACCAAGAGATACCATTAAACAGGTATCATGTATGCATATATATATATATATATATATATATATATATATATATATATATATATATATATATATATATATATATATGTGTGTGTGTGTGTGTGTGTGTTACTTGTAACACACCTTTGAATGACGACCTTGATTCATCACCCTACAGCTAATCACTCATGTCAATTTATGTTGCTGTAGGTTAAATGCTGCAAGTCAACTTGCAGGGTCACTGACATCAAAGATCTCTTGGTTTGTCACTATTGCTTCGATAAAGCCTTTGAAAAGTTCTATGACATGTATACTGCAACATGGTAGATATCTTCAATTTCTCATCTCATCAATTTGCTTTAAAAAATTGTGGTTTAATCAAAGTGTTTATGCAATAAGCTTCACTAAGCGGGAGCTTGATAGCACAGACTCCTACGACTTTTAGTTTAACAGGATCAGAATATTGATTGTTCAATATTTAACCTAGTTAGCTACTGTCATGCATACATGTACACAATGCAGATATGTTGGTCTTTTGTGTTTATGTTTTAATATAATATCAGCTTTTGTCCCCTTCTCTTATTAGCTAAATACAGATATGTAATTTACTTGTTATGTGAAGGAAAGGAGCTGGGTTTTCAATTATATCAGGTTCTATATGCTGTGAAGATCACTTCATGTGGTAAGTATTTTTTCTACTCCTAAACAGGATGTGTTTGGTTTCTATTTTTATAAATGTCCTAGAATTTTGATTGTCTGGGCACAGGATGCTTACAGTATTTACGGTGACCCGTGTTTGGTTACATGCCTAGGGATGTCTTAACCGAGTAAAATCATAGTTGGTACAGCAAAAATTAGTATTAACACAATTACCATTTTCTTCATAAAATAAAAATTGATTTTAATATGTAATTTCTTTCCTATTGATTATATAATTAAGCTTGTGTTTTATTATTTATTTAGTATCTTCTGTTTGGCTTGTGTTTTTATTTTTTATTTTAATTTTTACACATTTAATTTGGAAAATAGCCTTTTTTTTTAAACGGCCAAGGTTAGTAATTAGGTTAATGTTTTTTTTGCCATTTACGATGGTTTGAACCTAGGACCGCAAGCTTCTTTAACCCTTAATTCATATGTTTGATATTGGAAAAATATGAAAAAATAGGTACAAATTATATTTGTATAGGGAAACCCAGAAAATAAATAATCTATTCCAAAAAAATTTCATACATTTTACATCGGTTATTACTCAAAACTGATGTGAAAACTTTCAAAAAGGGATTTTTTACATCGGTTGGGAGTAATAACCGATGTAAAAAGTTGCGTCACTGGGGACTTTTTACATCGGGTATTACTTCCAACCGATGTAAAAAACTGGATCAATTTTTTAAAAAATGTGCATAATAACTGTTTCTTACATCGGTTCTTATATTATAACCAATGTAAAAAAGGGACTTTTTACATCGGTCCCAGAACCGATGTAAAAAGTACATGATTTACTATATCACCTGACTTTACATCGGTCCCAGAACCGATGTAAAAAGTCAATTTCACCCGATGTAAAAAGTCATTTCTGCACTAGTGTAAGTTAAAAGACTATTAATTAATGATATATATTTCATATACATTTGTAATAAGTAAAACTGTATAATGAGGCTAGAAAGTATATTTATTCACCATATTCACATTGTATTACGGTATAATAGACGTAAACAATTTCAATATTATTATTCTTATCCATTACCAAATTTTAGGTTACTTCATCACTAAGAAACTAAGTTAAAAGACTATTAATTAATGTCATATATTTCATATACGTTCGTAATAATTAAAACTATATAATGAGGCTTGATAGTATATTTATTCACCATATTCACATTGTATTACGGTATAATAGACGTAAACAATTTCAATATTATTATTCTTATCCATTACAAAATTTTAGGTTACTTCATCACTTAGAAACTAAGTTAAAAGACTATAGTAAATGACATATATTTCATATACGTTCGTAATAATTAAAACTGTATAATGAGGTTAGATAGTAAATTTATTCACCATATTCACATTATATTATGGTATAATAGATGTAAACAATTTCAATATTATTTTTCTTATCCATCACCAAATTTTAGGTCACTTCATCACTAAGAAACAAAGTTAAAAGACTATTAATTAATGACATATATTTCATATACGTTCGTAATAATTAAAACTATATAATGAGGCTAGATAGTATATTTATTCACCATATTCACATTTTATTATGGTATAATACATGTAAACAATTGCAATATTATTCTTCTTATCCATCACCAAATTTTAGCATCACTTAGAAACTAAATTAAAAGACTATTAATCAATGACATACATTTCATATACGCTCGTAATAGTTAAAACTATATAATGAGTTTATATAGTAAATTTGTTCACCATATTCACATTGTATTATGGTATAATAAATGTAAACAATTTCAATATTATTCTTCTTATCCATCACCAAATTTTAGGTTACTTCATCACTAAGAAACTAAGTTGAAAGACACCAAATTAACTATATATATTTCATATACGTTCGTAATAATTAAAACTATATAATTAGGCTAGATATTATATTTATTCACCATATTCGCATTGTATTATGTTATAATAGATGTAAACAATTTCAATATTATTCTTCTTATCCATCACCAAATTTTAGGTTACTTCATCACTAAGAAACAAAGTTAAAAGACTATTAATTAATGACATATATTTCATATACGTTCTTAATAATTAAAGCTATATAATGAGGTTAGATAGTAAATTTATTCACCATATTCACATTGTATTATGGTATAATACATGTAAACAATTTCAATATTATTCTTCTTATCCATCACCAAATTTTAGGTCACTTCATCACTAAGAAACTAAGTTAAAAGACTATTAATTTATGACTTATATTTCATATACGTTCATAATAATTAAAACTATATAATGAGGTTAGATAGTAAATTTATTCACCATATTCATGTAACACCCTCTAAAAACCCCGAATAAATTTTCGCGAAAAATTAAAATTATAATTTCAGAGTACATGTATCAACGAGGATGTCACAATTCTCTTTTAATAAAAACAAGTTCCTGTCATGCATAACATAGAAGCAACTCATACATGTTTACACAGCGGAATAATTTAATTAACAAAACCAATGTTATAATATTTTCAAAATCATCAGGGATTAACACCTGGAAAATATCAACATCATATTATAACAACGTAATGAAATAAACGAGTCTGACTAAAGCAGCTCGACAAACAAACGTTCCCGGAGTTACAACTATCAGAGCATGACCCGGACAATATTTAAACGGAAATAAACTAGAAACAACAAGCCTTCGCCAAGCACCTGAACGAAGCTCCTCAATCTGAAATATTCAACAGTAAGGGTGAGCATCTCAACTATACATTTGATTATACGTTCGTAACAATCAATTCAGGAAACCATAAGCATCACCCAACAATTAGCATGTTTTATAGATTACAAAAACCTTTACAATTTATATATTCATAATATCTCACTTTTCATGCTTATAGTTAACATTAAACATCGTTAACAATTTAGTAACAATACATGCATACAATCAATCAAATACAACATTGGAAAAATCATCCATTCATGTCATATTCAATGTTATGCAACACACCCATGCATGAGGTACCATTTTACCGCCCCATTAAATCTCGGGTCACGGATAACTCACCGTTCCATTATATCGCGGACACGGCTACCACCTCAACATTCCATTAAATCGTGGACACGTATATTGGCCACCATGTTAATTCCACACAATGGGAATTAACAAATGCAACATGATATGTAAAGTATGTAACACTCAGCATACTATTAACATCAATCGACATATCATGCAACATCAACAATATCAAATATAACATGATCTGAATAGCATGTAATCACTCAGCATACTATTAAACATCAATCATATCAAGTTATATCATAATTCATGCTTGATACATCATCTAAAAGCATGACAATAAAATCCATATAGTGTTGGTATCATAACATACGATCGTTATTCGATACTAGCATCAATCAACACTAGGAAATCAATAAACACATATTCAAAACATGTCAAACACTGCACATCAAAACCGGATCAATCCGTACTTAACAGCATGCACAGAAAACATAGTTTAAAAACCAACACAGGAGGTTTAACACGGGTGCCCGTGTAAAACAACACTGCCCGTGTGGAAATGTGTCCAGAAAACACGTTTTTTTGACAATACAGGGGATCAACACGGGTGCCCGTGTGAATCAACACGGCCCGTGTTGAATTGTGCCCAGAAAACACATATTTATGCCAACACAGTGAATCAACACGGGTGCCCGTGTTAATCAACACGCCCGTGTTGAATTGTGGCCAGAAAACACATTTTTATCAGCATTACAGTGAATCAACACGGGTGCCCGTGTTAATCAACGCGCCCGTGTTGATGAGTGCGAACCCAAAATTTCCTGTACCTGCAGCAGCTCAGAACAGCAGCCAGACACGAAAAATACCGGCCAAAACGTGCCTTTCGGTACATAACAACATCAATTGTGCATAACTCAAAGCAACACATCAATTAGGACTCAATTCCCTTCTACGTTAAATCAATTTCCAATCCTAAGGACAGCAGTATTTCACTTAAGGTCTCATTTTCCAAAATCAACCAAAACTCAGAATTTTCATTTTTAAAACATACTATTTTATCAACATTCTTTCATCAACAACAAATTTTATTAAATTGACCTTAAGTTACATATTACCCGTCCTTTAGGGAAATTCTAACACATCAAGGTCATCCCTAGAACACCTAAGGTAAATTCACGATCATATGGATATACTCCAAATCCACCATTTGGGAACCTAAAGTCCT